ATATTTTAAAGTCCTTTTCTTGGCCAAAATAAATGACAGGGGCAAGCCAGTATAGGCAGGGACAGCGACAGGGACTGAACAGGGAGATCAGAGAATGTCAGGGGACGACAGGGAGTAGACAGGGAAGGCAGGGACAACGACAGGGGACGACAGGGACTGGACAGGGAGAGCAGGGACAACGACAGGGGATCATAGGAGAAAGTCAGGGAGAGACAGGAAAATGTCAGGGACTGACAGGGGGACAACAGGGGATTTTTTGGAATCTAAGGGGATATATAATTCAGTAGTGCAAAATACAGGTAATCAATGAATAAAATGAAGATTGGAATTATAAGAAAATAAAGTCCGCGGACAACCTGAATTGTACGTAATAACTCTCCTTATGCCCCTGTACTAAAAAAAAATACCAAACTACTTTTAATTAAAGTAATATTTTTTTTAAGTGGGGCGGGTTACTTTGAGAGGCGATATGGACAGATACACAATGTCATTGCTAAAGCTCAAAAGCTTCTTGAGATATCGTCCGGAAAGGAGAGTGTTACACACAGACAGAATGTATAGATTAACGACCTTGAACTTTGACCTTATAATCACAATATGGGTCTTCTTAGGCCACAGGGAGTTTTTATATTAGGCTTCATGGTAAATGCTCAAAGGGTTGTGGAGATTTTGAGCGGAAAAGAAACAGACAGAATTTATCTAATATTGATATATTATTGACATTTGACCTTTTCACTTCAAAACTATACTTCTTTTCTTAACAATAGAGTATGCAGTATTTCGTTGCGAAGTTCAAAATGTTCTTGATGTATCGCGCGAAAACTAAAGTGTTACAGACAGACAGAAATTCAGACTGGCGAATGGACAGCTAGACGGACATCGGACAGACAAATTAAAATTGATATCCTCCTCTTTCATTGGAAGCGGGGGACAAAAACGGAATTCTACTGTATTGTGTTGCACAGTGAGGAACAATTAGCTTTACATTAGATAGACTTTTGAGCTATGTTTTATTGAAACTTGTGATAACTGCGAAGATGATGCTGTTTTTCCAGCAATTTTCTGCCTGTAACGTACCATATGCAAATGTTGCGGCGGGAACAAGATAGAGGCTTGGGCGTTCCCGGTATTTTAGATATTTTACACTATATATTAAAAATGACTTTCACCTCTCCTGGATTAGAAACCCACTCAGAGCGAGTAAATATGTTTTAGTATAAAAACTTTTCATCTATTAATACTCTGAATGCAATGCAAACTATTGAAAAAAAAAATAATACCATAGAAATAATAAATTTATTCAAGATATGAAATGGACTCTTTGTTTACTGTTAATTAAAAATTATCAAGAACTCGTTTTGATCTGAAAAAAAGCAGATGTAAATAACAGATCTAAACCTGATATTTTTGTCTTCCAATCGTTGTGTCTTCCCACGGAGGGTGAATCTAGAGAGAGAAAAAAATATATAATGCTGGAATCGCTTGAATGTGTCAAGTTGACATTTAAATAGTCTAATTGTACTCGTAAGATTATATTGAAAAATAAAATCCATCCCTCAAATCAAATTTAAACAAGCAAATTAAGAGAACTGATCACCCACTTTCTGTACGGTGAGAGTGGGGGTTAAGGTCTTACAACTGGGTATGCTATGATCAAAGATTAATTAATTAAATGTAACAGTTCTGTCCAGATATCAAGAAATTTTTGAGAGGATGAGAGGTACGTGTAGGGTTTAAGGAAGGAATAAAAGAAAGTTAAACTGTTATAAAACAAGCTAATATCATGAGCTGTCAGCCAGAATATTATATGGCGACCGCGAGAAAAAAAAATATTTAATTTCTGTCTGGGACCAACCGGTTCCAATAACCTATAGAACATGCCTATATCTAAACTTATTTTTCGATTTCGGAAATGATAATTAGTTGAATTGCATTTCATATGGATTTCCAGTTTTACTAACATCTAAACTAAGGGTGATTTTTTTTTCTAATTTTGTATATATTATTGATAAATTGTCAATTTTGTCTCGAGATATTACGCATTATGATTAAGATGAATATCTCCGACTGGAGAATGATGCGTATGAAATAAGGAATATGAAAACAAAGCGGATAGAAGAATGAGTGCGCTGTATATCCAATGATTATTAAACAGTGTTTTATCTAAAAAGGAAAAAGAGAGTAAAGAGTAGAGTAAGAGAGAGAGGAATGTATGGGCATTGAGAGATCAATTATTGCTTGAACAATAATCCGAACCTTTCAGTGTGTGGTCTCTGGGTATCAGATTACACGACAAATTCAATCTATGACCAAGCACTTGGATCATTTTTAGTTTTTACAGAAGAATTAATAGTGAAGCATTTTACACATAATATGAATGGTGAAATCATTTATTAGTATGCGACGTGTCTTTTTATTGACTTTATTATGAGGTACTGTGATGATAAGTGTCTAAATAATTTATCTTAACAGAAAAAAAACTAATTAAAAAAGTAATTATTTTTTTTCATTTTAGCATACAAAAATATCTAAAATGATCTTTTTTTAAACGAGTCACTCATTTGTAAAACTCAATGAACTTATATGAAAAAGTCCTGACACGTAACATAATAATAAAAAATAAATAAAATAAAATACTTGTAATTGCATTACAATTATATTTTATATATTTTTGTAAACATGTACCTGCAAAAGCATGTGTTGTAATGAATTTTGTAAAAGTAATTTCTGTGGTACCTTTATCATCAGGACCAAAAAATATCCGCGGCAGTTTACTGGGGAAAATAGAGTCCATTTTCCCGTCTTCCCCTCCCTGATCCTGTGTGTTGCTGTCTATTTCCTCCTGCGTACTGTTGCCAAATTGCCCTTGTGTTCTGTTGTCTAGTTTACATTGCGCATTTTTGTCACTTTGCTCAGCAGTCATGTTTGTGATCTGTTCTTGAGCATCGTGATCAATCTGCTTATTTGTATTAACTATCTCTTTGAAATGAAGAAAAATTCAACATCACATGAAATGTAGAATTCAATGTTACTTGATTAATTTTTTTTTTTAAAAATCAGCAATGTTTTCACAATATCAATTACCTTTAGATTTTATCATCTTCTCTGACAACAACTTCTTAATTTCACCTTGAAAAAAAACAGAAGAGATATAGAAAAAGTTCAGAAAATAGGATTAAAATCCAAAATATATCTGACATTAGAAATGTAAACCTTGCCGACTTTCTTCGTCACATTTGATACGTTTCCGCTTGAAGAGAATGCATTGTGTGTCTTCTTGTTCCTGAATTTTCTGATGCTTCTGTCTCCTCCAAAGGACCACAGCAATTATCAGAATAACGGCAAGTATAAACAGACCAGCAACCAGACCGCCTGCAATCTCTGCTGCATATGATGGGTCATATTGAGGAGCGGGTGTTGTTGTTTGGATATGAAATGATGTGTTGCTGGTAGCAGTGCTCCATGAGCTGTTACAAAAAGAAGTACAAGGTAACATTACCCATTTGTTAGACACCTTGGCAATCAAATCGTTTCAAAATTTCGTTTGCAGATAATGAAAATCCCCGATATAGACGTAAAGAGATTTATCAAATAAACGTCATTTTGATGTGACGGTATTTTATTCAATTGTGACGGCAGTCCAGGGTACTGTGACGTGCCTGTGTCGACACTGCGTTAAAACGTATGCTCAGATGAAGTAGACAGGGCCTCGTTAAACCACGGTCTTGTCTGATTGTGTTTGCAGCTTAAAATACACAATTAGTATATTCTAAATGTTCTAGTTACTGAAAATATATCTAAGAATTTTCAGTTAGTAAATCAGTATTTTTTATACAGTTACATCCATTTATTTACTGACAAATATGAATTACTTAATATATAACATGTTATTTTTTTTAATTTATTGAATATTGTATTTATAAAGATTAAGTACATCATTTTAAAATAGCAGAATTTATTATTTAAATATTTTTTTTTTTTAATAAATGAAGTAACCAATTAAGATTCTATGTACAAAGTGCATCAATGCAAAATAATGAAATACATTATACAATTATTGCTGGTTTTTGGGGTCAATACAATGATTTAGCCATCTGAGGAGTACAATATTCACCGAGCCCGAAGGGCGAGGTGAATATTGTACTTCGAAGATGGCTAAATCATTGTATTGACCGAAAAAACAGCAATAATTGTTTTATTATATGATTCACTGATAAAATTATACAGCTTATTTTATTAAGTCCTAGCCAAATATTTTTCAGAAATATTTTCAGAGAGAAGCAGAATTAAAATGTGAATAAACCTTACCAGTGGTATCAATTTGAAATATTTTTTTTAAATCAATGTTAGATGCCATGAAAAATATAAAATGTTAATCTTTTTATAGGATAGATTTTGAAAGGAATGAGTATTATCAGGAAAAACTGACTGCAATAAAAGTAAAAAAAAAATTGTTGTTCTGACAGTAAAAGTGTTGTAGGGGGGTGCCTGCATCCCCTCTTACCACCCTCACCTAAAATATATATTCGCTAATGTTTTGTTCACATGAAAATAAAAACCACAGTCGGTAAAATAGCTATCTAAAACAATTTGTATCAACTTGGAATTTCCCAATCTATTTTTAGATCAATGTAGAGGAAATAAATTCTTGTATTGACCTGGAACGTCACGTGCAGGTCAATACAACGTAATATTTTTCTAACATAGTTGGATCTTAGCCAATCAGAGAAATGGAAATTATTCAATCATATAATAAAAGGTGTTATTTATACACTTCTAATAGTTTCTAGATTAATATGGTTATTTTTTATATGGAAGTAAGAACATCAAAACTTAATACCATACATTTCATAATTTTTATTGGAGAGGGGGTGTTTAAAAAGATACTCACATATTAGGACATGAGGATTCAGCAAGAAAACATTGTTTTTCAGTGTTGATTCTTTGACAAGCAGTATCTAAATACAACATAATGATAATAACTAAGATTTGAATAAATATATTAATGAATCAATTTTACAAATTGAAATGTTGATTTGATTCTATTTCAAGTAATATATCTTAATAAAATAACTTTTTTAAAACAATGATCTTACATTGGTATATTGTATTGCTTTGATAGTCTTCGTCAGGACAACCTGATGAAAATCCAAGACAATCGACGCGATAAAGGTTTTCTCCGTCGGTTTCCAAACAGTTGCCTTAAAATGAGTAAAAAAGAAACGTGTAAAAATAATAATAAAAAAAAAACAAAACAAAACAGGGAACAGACTATATTGGAATTGTATACAACATTTAATAGTGAAGCATCATTAAACCAAATTTCTCGCAAATGTTTCAAATTTTTGTTGCATCGTTAAAGATTCTCAAAAAAATTGAAACTTCAGCAAAAGGTTTCTAAAAATTGCAAGTTTAATCAAACTGGGGAGTGAAGCGTACGGAACGACAATGAACGAAAAAGCTTTTGCATATCAAACTAGTGCTAATTGTAACGGGAACCGTTACAGATGTTCCCCAAACGCTCCCCAACTCCCTTCTCGTGCCATATTCCCTGTAAGTTTCATTAAAGAAGGCAAAATCTATGCATTTAAGACGTAAACAACGTTTTTCCAAAAGTATACCAAGTATTTCAAATTTAAGCAATGCAGGCGTGTGCATGTGATTGCATGAGCGTAATGACGATATCATCTTATCTACACTATTTTACTCATTTGCATGTGCATGCACGTGCATGATGATCATACCTTCTTGTAGGAGTTCATTATGTCTGTCTATGTTCTTAATCCCATTCTGTTTGGTTGAAAAACAAGGGAGTTATAGCCATTTAAAGTTTAAGCCAATCAGATTGCAGCGCACGTGCATGCGCGTATTTTCATGACAATTATTATATATCATATTGTAGGACATCTTAAAGTAGGCTTATGTTTTAAATTTCAAAGCATTTTGTAAAAAAACAAAAAAGATATTGAGATTTTTGTTTCAGCCAATCAGAGCAAAGCGCACGTGCACGCACATGCATGCATGTGAATGCTGACCATACCATCCTGTAGGAGTCCTTTATGTCTATCTATGTTGTAAATCCCATGCTGTTTGGTTGAAAACCAAGGGAGTTATACTCATTTAAAGTTTCAGCCAATCAGATTGCAGCGCACGTGCATGCGCGTGATTTCATGAAAAATTTTATATATCATATTGTAGTACATCCTAATGCATGTCTATGTTAGAAATTTCAAAGCATTTCATCATAAAACAAAAAAGATATTGAGATTTCTGTTTCAGCCAATCAGAGCAAAGCGCACGTGCATACACGTGAGTTCATGCAAATTTGACCATGTCATCTTATCTACAGAATTCATATATCTTTATATAATGAGTTTCAAAACATTTTATCAAAAAATATAAAAGTTACAACCATATTAAATATATCAGTCATTTTACTCATTGCACGCGCCCGCACGTGCATGCGAATGCGCGCAAATTGACCTTCGTTCGGCACATCTACACAACATGCCTACTAACCCTAAAAAGGTTTTAACTTAGTTTGGTGAACAGTTTCTGAGAACACTTCCGGACAAAAAAGTACCGGAGAAGAAATAAGAAGAAAAAAGAATAATAATAATAACTAGTGCTAATTGTAACGGGGACCGTTACAGATGTTCCCCAAACGCCCCCCAACTCCCTTTTGGTGCCATATTCCCTGTAAGCTCCATTAATAAAATAAACTCTATGCATTTGAGACTTTAACGTTTACAAAGAAGTGTTCCAAGTTCATTCAAATTTTAGCATTGCACGCGTGCAGATGTGAATGCATGTGCGTAATGACCATATCATCTTGTCTACACAATCTATATATTGTAATATACAAAATATTAAAATATTTAATCCAAAAGTATTAAAAAATACGCTCATTCAAGTGTATTTTTTATTTTACTCATTTCACGTGCACGCAGGTGCATACATGAGCATGGTGACCATACCTTCTTGTAGAAGTCCATTACATCTATGTATGTTCTAAATCCCATCCCGTTTGGTTGAAAACCAAGGGAGTTATAGCTGTTTAAAGTTTAAGCCAATCAGATTGCAGCGCACGTACACGCACGTGTATGAATGTGCATATTGACTATACCTTCTTGTAGAAATCTGTTATATCTATCTATGTTCAAAATCCCATCCTGTTTGGTTGAAAATCAAGGGAGTTATAGCTATTTAAAGTTTAAGCCAATCAGATTGCAGCGCACGTGCATGCACGTGTTTTCAAGACAATTGCTAGATATCACGTTGTAGGATATCCCAATGCATGGCTATGTTCAAAATTTCAGAGGATTTTGTTAAAAAGCAAGAAAGATATTGAGACTTTAGTTTCAGCCAATCAGAGCGAAGCGCACGTGCATGCGCGTGAGATCTTGCTATTTTGACCATGTCATCTTGTCTATGCTACAAATTTATCCTTATATTATGAGTTTCAAAGCATTTCATCAAAAATTGAAAAAGTTACGTCTATATCAATTATATTGGACATTTCTCGTGTTGCACGTGCGCGCTCTTGCAAGCACACGTGCATGCAATGCTTTCATGATAAAATCTTATATATCATGCTGTAGATCTCCCAAATATATGACTATGTTCAAAATTTCAAAGGACTTTATCAAAAAACAAGAAAGATATTGAGACTTTAGTTTCAGCCAATCAGAGTGAAGCGCACGTGCATGCGCATGGGTTCTTGCTATTTTGACCATGGCATCTTGTCTTTCCTACTAATTTGTCCTTATATTATGAGTTTCAATGCATTTCATCCAAAATTGAAAAAGTTTAATCTTTATCAATTATATTGGTCATTTTTCATGTTGCACGTGTGCGCTCTTGCAAGCACGTGCGCGCAAAATGACCTTCGTTCGGCAAATCTACATAACATGTCTACTGACCCTAAAAACATTTCACCTTACTCGGATGTGTAGTTTGCAAGATCATTCGTGGACAAAATTTTCCCAGGAAGAAGAAAAATAATAATAATAATAATAATAATAACTAGAAACTCTTGTTGCTTCAGCAACAAAGAAGGTCTTCCGTTCTCCTCTATTTATCTGTAAGAAGGTATGTCCTAAAATCATTTCAAATACTCTTTTTTATAAGATATTTATGGGAGAGTAAGAAACTCAATTTATGCAGTTTTTCTCTCATAACCAGAAGTCGTCGTTTTTGTTTCCAATGGGACTGACATATTTCGAGACTACTAGTAAAAAGCTATTAAGGTAATTCTAAGAAAGATTCCATAAAGAAAAGTTTAAAATTTTGATTTCTTTGATCACTTCCTGTGACAACCGAAAGTGACGGTGGATGATCTTAAACTCAAAGGATTTGTCTACTCATCAAGGTCTACCACCCCTAGTAGTTTGGTGTCTTAATCTCTTACCGTTAACGAGATCTAGTAATGATAACTTCTGATTTTGAGGACAGGAAGTCTCGCGACAGGAAGTGAATTTTACTGAGATATTATTCATTACTGTAGACATTTGCAGTCTGAATAACATATCCAAAAATCATTACAAATACTTTAACTATAACAAGTATTTATGGGAAAGAAAAATATTCAAATTATGTAGTTTTTCTCTTTTAACCGGAAGTTGTCGATTTTGTTTCTGGTGATACTATCATATTTCAAAACTACAAATAAGATGTTATAATGTGATGCAAAAAGTTTCTATAAAGAAAAGTTGAATTTTTCGATTTCTTTTATCACTTCCCGTGACAACCGGAAGTGACGGCGGACAATGTTATCCCAACTGGTTTTGCCTACTCATCAAGATATACCACTTGAAACAGTTTGGTTTCTTAATCTCTTATCGTTTACGAGATCTAGCTATGATAACTTAACAATTTGAGGACAGAAAATCACGCAAGCGGAAGTGAATTTAACATAGATATTTGACCTTCCTGTAGATATTTGCAGTCTGAATTACATATCCAAAAATCGTAACAAATATGTCATGTATAAGAAATATTTAGGAGAAAGAAAAATACTAAAAAAAATGCAGTTTTTCTCTTAAAACCGGAAGTTGACGTTTTTGTTTCCGGTTGGACTGATATATTTTAAAAATACAAAAAAGATAGTATAACGTCATGCCAAAAAAGTTTAATAAAAGAAAATTTGAAAATTTTGATTTTTTGGAACACTTCCTGTGACGACCGGAAGTGACGGCAGACAATCTTATCCAAACTGAATTTGCCTACTCATCAAGATCTACCAATTGTATAAGTTTGGTGTCTTAATCTTTTTCCGTTTACGAGATCTAGCTATGATAAGTTCTCATTTTGAGGACAGGAAATCACGCGACCGGAAGTGAATTTTATAAAGATGTCAGACGTTACTGTAGACATTTGCAGTCTGAATAACATATCCAAAAATCATTACAAATACTTTACCTATAAAAAATATTTATGGGAAAGAAAAATACTGAAAATATGCAGTTTTTCTCTTATAACCGGAAGTTGTCGTTTTTGTTTCCGGTGGGACTGACATATTTCGAAAGTACAAATAAGATACTATAATGTGATGCAAAAAAGTTTCATAAAAGAAAAAGTTGAAATTTTCGATTTCTTAGATCACTTCCTGTGACGACCGGAAGTGACGGAGGACGGATTTAAACAGATTGCACAAATCTACTTATCATGATCTATTATTCATGAAAGTTTTATGTCTTAATCTGTTATTGTTTCTGAGATATCGTCCGGACATGATCACTTTTAGAAAAACGGAAATCGGACATATTTGACGACCGGAAATGAATTCTGAAAAACTGAAAACTGCGTTTGAAAGATATTTTTACTCTTTATCAACCCTGAAAATTTCACGAGAATCCGTCCAGTCATCTCTGAGAAATCGTCAAAAAAAGAAAAGGGAAAATAAAATAATAATTAAGCCAATCGATTGCAGCGCATGTACAGCACGTGCATGATTTCTTGTTGACCATACCTTCTTGTAGAAGTCCATTACCTTTTCTTTTTTAA